CCATGTCTAGCTCATAATCACTCATACGATCTCGGGTTGATTTTGAAAGAAATGTTACCTAACCCAAGAATCACACTCCTTGTGAAACAAGGCCTTCGATACCACTCTGTGGAACTAAACAACCTTAAGTTCCTCGACAGCTTCGCATTTATGAACGCAGGCCTAAGCTCCCTCGCCAGCACACACAGAGAGTAAGCGACCACTCCGCTACTCCAAGCACCTTATAAATCACCTGTCGGACGAAGCCCAGTCATTACTTTTAACGGGGAAGGGCATATTTCCGTATGAATACCTTGACGATTTGAAGAAGCTCGAAGACACATGTATCCCTCCATAGAAAACTTTTATAGTTCTCTCACAGGTGAGACGGTCACAGAGGAGGAATATGCACACGCACACAAAGTCTGGGATGCAGCAGGGTGCCACAGCCTGGGTGATTACTTGGAGTGCTACTTGAGGGTGGATGTGGGTTTGCTAGCCGATGTGGTCACAGCATGGAGGATCCATGCTCACTGAAAAGTATGGTCTTGACATGGTAAATTATGTTAGTCTTCCAGGGTATGCATATGACGCATTCCTAAAGATGACCAAAACAAGCCTGGACCTTATTTCAGACCCCGAACTAGCTCACAAAATTCAGCGATTCGGTGAGAGGAGGACTGACAACATGCGTTCGCCCTCTTACAACGGCAAAAAGACACCCTCGTCAACCCCATCATGACACGCTAAAGGAAAAAAGCAACTTTATATTGTATCTAGACTTTAATAGTCTATATGCCAGTGTAATGTCTGAAAAACTACCATTTGGCAACATACGAAAATTATTACCTCATGAAAAGACAGAGTTCACTGCAGCGGGGTTATCTAACCACGATGAAAGCGGTGATATCGGACATTGGATAGTGGCTGATTTAAGAGTACCTCCTGAAGTTGCAAGAAAGACAGACACTGCCTCTCCTCATTCACCACATGAACATAAGACACCAAGACATATCCCCACATAACAGACACCTCCTAGCATCGCAGAACAGACGCTTACCGGCTAAAAATACAAAGCTAGTTGCATCACATCTCCCGCAGAAGGATTACCTCATTCTTCTGAAACATTTGCAACTGCTAATTGACTTGGGAGTGGAGGTGCAACGAGTGTGCGAAGTATATGAATTCTCTCAACGAGAATTTTTATCACCTTTTATTCACGAGAATATTAAGGCGCGCCGTGAAGCCACAGACAAAGCACAACAAATGTGTTTTAAAACTCTCTCAAACAGCGTGTTCGGACGGTGTTTAATGAACCCGTTAAAACGACTGGAACGTGCCAGCATTGTGTGTAAACCATCTTCATTTCTCAAAAAGATTCGAAGTCCTCTCTTTAAAAGACTCATACCCCTTGCCCCCAACCGGGTAATAACAATCTCAAGGCTTCCTTCCGTTAACATGGAATACCCGCAATATGTTGGATTTACCATTTTGGAATTGGCTAAATTCAAGTTGTACAACTTTTATTATAAAGTCTTAAAAGCTCATTACGGAGACAGGGTGAAGCTCTGCTACTCCGATACCGATAGCTATATTCTCTCTGTAGAGACAGATGATATTGAAAAAGAACTTTCAATGTCTCCTTTCAAGGAGTGGATAGACACTTCTAATTTTAGTCATGACCATCCATTGTACAATCCATCAGACAAGGGTAAGCTTGGGTTATTAAAATCTGAGACTGGAGAGATTCCCATAAAAGAGGCAATATGTCTAAAACCTAAGACTTATTCCCTTCTTTTAAATAATGATCAATCATCTATGGGTGTAAAGGGAATTGGTCGGTCTGAGAAGAGAAAACTGAAACACGACAATTTCCGTCGTATTCTTTTTGAGAAAGAGGCACACTTTTTTAAACAGGTGAGCATCACCAACGTAAAGGGTCAAATAACAACCACGGAAACCAACAAGCGTGGTTTATCATTATATGATGACAAACGTTGATATGTAAATGCATACAATTCGCTGGCATACGGTCACCCGGATATTAAACACCGTCCGGAAGCAGAGGAGGAGGAGGAGGAGAGAGCTGCGGGAGAATTCGCGGTCGACGTGACAACCGAGGAGGGGGAGGAGGAGGAGGAGGAGCTTGAGGCGACTGCGGCGACAAGGGAGGAAAATTTTAATCATTTATGGAGAAAACGAGAACATCTCCAACTTCACTTTCCTCCTTTACGTGCGAGCGACAACAACAGCAATGCAGCAGGAGACAACACCATTCATCATCAACAACAACAACAACGGCGACGACCTCGATCTGGCAATCCAAGACCTCGAAAGCGCAGAAAAGCGCAAACCAGCAACCCCCATCATCAATGAGGAAGCGGTGGAAGATAGTGACGACGATGACTTTGTATAATAAGTTTGTTTATTTGTAAATATTATATGTACATATTTTCTTTGTATACACTAGTCAATAAAAGAGGTTGTGTCGAAAATCTAAGTGTCATTTTTATTTGTGTCCTTCACCATGTCGCACACTACATCGTACTCGTGTTTTAAGGAAAACCTGCTCAATCTCTTTGCTCACCCCGCAAGAATAATAATTGCAGGGGTTACCAATTCGGGAAAGACGTATCTCACCACAAAAATTGTTGTTCAGTATCACAATCAGTTTGATTATATAGTAACATGCGGGAGTGAATCCCACCCGTTGGAAAAGGAAACCTCTTTATCCGGTAAACTTCTTCTTAATAAAGATATTATAAACCCTATCGAACACAAGACGAAACCGAGCGACCGCATATTATATATATTGGACGATTGCTTTATAGAAGCGGCTAGCAACGACATTGTAAGTAATATTTTTACAAAGGGGCGACACGAAAACATCTCTGTTGTACTGCTTGTTCAAAATGTGTTTATGAATGGGAAGCACAGTCGCAACATTTCACTAAACGCTTCTCATTTCATTTTGCTAAAGCAGAGAGACCTCGGGCAAATTGAATGCTTAGGCAGACAGATATACGGCAAGAGTGATGCCAGGAGGTTTTTAGAGTTGTATAAAAAGGTTGTTCTCTCTAAATCTCGAGGTTATTTACTCGTAGACCTCGGATGTGAAACTTCCCGATAAACTACAGTTTCGCAGTAATATCCTCTGCGAATATTACCCATATCAGATTGTCTACCAATGGTAATTACCAGCAATATGATGCGAGTTCTAAAGGACTTGTATGAGGATTATACAAAACCCTAGCGGGTTGGGCGGTATACAGACGCTGTTAGATGCCGCACGCGCGAAATTAGGCAGGGATAATATAACGCAGTCAGATGTGGAAAAGAGCTTTGTCATCACAACGCGTGTATACACTTCACAAACATACTCGCAAAAAATTCCCTCGCCGTCAAATAATGGCTGTTAGACCTCGCAAAATCTTAACGTGCGATCTAGCGGATATGCGAAACTTGTCAAAACAAAACGGTAAAACATCTTATTTGCTTGTATGCGTAGATGTGTTTAGTCGCTATATGCAAGTAAGACCGTTAAAGAGTAAAAACAAGACAGAGGTTGCGCATGCGCTGCGATCAATTTTAAACACCGACGATGCTAAAGGTTTAACTCACCTCTTTACCGACGCAGGTCGAGAGTTTGTAAATAATACAGTGAATGGCTTACTGCGCGAACGAAATATGCGATGGTATATAACGCATTCGAAAGAAATAAAAGCGAGTATTGCAGAGAGACACATCAGAACCCTTAAGGAACGCATTTATAAGTATTTAACCTTAAAAAATACGTTGAGGTATATCGATGTTCTCCCAGACATTGTGTCGGCATATAACGAGCGCGCGCACGCGGGTTTGAAACGCGCTACACCTCTGGATGTTCACCGACACTACACGCGGGCGCAGTGGCATCGCCTCTTTCGTGTCATGTATGCCCGCTCATTGAATACACCTATAAAAAAAAGGTCGATCAGCTGCTAGCAATCAGAATATAAAGGTAGGGGATACCGTGCGCATCGCAGCGCGTTCTCACACCGACGCATTTCGCAAGGGTTATGAAATACAAAATACGGAGGAGATATTTAAAATTCGGCAGATTGACAATCGCCAGAACAGAGTAGGGTATTATCTGGAAGATCTGAGCGGTGAAGAAGTGCAAGGATTGTTTTACCGCGAGGAGCTCGTACCGGCATCTCTGCCTGGATTTTACCCGTACAAGGTCTTATCATCACGGTGGAATAGAGCTAAAAAGCAGAGAGAATACCTCGTTCGCTGGGTTGGTTATCCTGATAAATTCAATTCTTATATTACGATTGATGACATGCAACCCCCACCATGACAAAACAAGCTCTCACACCTCGCTTTGTTGATGTGTTATCATTCATTTGTTCGCTAAAACCAAAACGGCGGTCAGGTTTTATATTAAAATTAGATAAACAGCAGATTAATTGCATTGCAGAGGTTTTTTCAAATTTCTTAAAAAAGAATTTAACCACGGAGAAGAGCATTATTAAGAGGTTGAAGCGGTATCGAGAGGCAATTAAGGAAGTGTCTCGAAAGAAAACATCTCTTAAAAAGAAGAAAAAAATTCTCTCGTCTCGCACCGGGGGTAATATTCTCTCCATTTTACTCCCGCTTGCTATAAATGCATTTACCTCTCTAATTTGATAAGAAATATGAAAGAGTATTGTCTCGTTCCCAAACCCACTGTCGACCGACATCTGGTCCCTGCGGTTTCTGACCCTCCTCCTCCTCCCCCCTCCGCAAATGGTGATACTAACAAGATTAATGACAAGAGTATATTAGAACCACCCCCGGATGTGAGTACACTAAGTGAAAGTACCGTAATGAACGGAGGGGGCCCCGCGGGCGGCGCGTGCGAGAGAGGTCGCAGCGCGCGGGGCGGCGGATGCGGCGGCGCGGGAAATCGACGCGCGGGTGGAAGATCGCGAATTATCTCACGCTGTGTTCCTCGCAAGAAAAAAAAACAAAAATGTAGGCCAGTGCGAAAGCGGGTGTCAGTCTAATGCGGGGATGAACATGACTCTCCCCTCTATAGCTCTAGAAAAACTTGGGAAAACAACAACAACCTCACCCAACAGAAATACATTGATTAACCCGTCGTTAGAACACTTGGTGGGCATTTTTTTCAAAGCATCTCAACAGGAGTATGCCAAATCTCTCTTGGAATTTTACCGCCATCAGTCTTTAATACGATGGGATGAATTAGGTCAGATACAATCTTCCTGTGTCAGGATTGAATATACTCGATGTTATCAAGTATTTCGCGTCCTCATCCTCGTTTTCTATAAAAGAAAAGGAGCTTTTGAAAATATTACATAATTTTGCTCCTGTACCATATGATTACATACGCAATTCCGCGGCTAAACGGTATCTCTCAGGTGTTCATAAGGCAGGCGGGATTGTTAAAGGGAAACCTATATCCGTCCTTACAAGCGTGCAAAGAAAGATGCGTTGGAACCCTTATTAATGCTCTCGGGAGAGAATAAAAAGGGTGATCGTGTAATCAAGAGCGTGTGTGCGAAGAAGCAACGGCGGTATAAACATGAGTGAAAACAAACTCTTCAACGCTGCGTCTTCGCGGGGCGGCGGCGGCGGCAGCAGCAGCAGCAGCAGCAGCAGCAGCGGTGCATCCAACACCAGCGATGACGAAGAGAATAACACATCACTATCATCTAGCGTGCTTGCTGGTGAGCTTCAGAGAGAGATGATGAAATTTTATCGAGCTCAATACAAACACGACATTATTGTGACTCTGTGGGAGACGTATCGAGTCTTTCTTAACAACCTCTCTGATCAAACCTTTCTACAAGACGTTGATGATGCTATTGAAGGCTTAAAACACATCTCCCAGGAAGAAGCAATTTGCGCGATTTCAAAATATCGGAAGCTGAGCAGTTTATACAATCAGCAAGCTATAGCTTTTGACATGGGCTATCGATTGTGTACAAAGCTGCGCAGATGATTATAACGCACAAAGGTGGGCGGAGTGTCGACATGCATGAATGAGTGACATTGGTATAAAGCGAGGTTGTGAGCGAGAGAAGTGTTATATCACAACCTCGATTTGTGCAAAGAAGATGGCTCAGGAAATGCCTTTGAGTGGGAGCTCTGCTGCTTCTGAATCGGCCAGGCGGTACAGACGGGTGATTAATGTAGAGGATGAACGAGTGTTATCGGAAGCTGCGCCCTCGTCTACCCCGCTGATGTCACCTCGCGAGAATTACCTGCCTGATTATTTATATCCGCTCGTGATAAGAGAAGGAAGTATTCTCCAACACGAGTTATGGAAAGATACCGCTGTATGTGTCATCGCTAATGCCAGCGGGACGACTGCTTATGCCACGTCTGGTGTGTTGGAAAGAAAATATGAATACGCTGATTATTACAAAGCAAAAAGACGGATGTATACTACTACAAGAGCAATTAGCGATCGGAGTTACTGGTCGTTAGTGTGAAACAAGGTGATGAGGGACCTGTAATTATCTACCTCATTGCCCATTTCGGGCCAGGTAAACCCCTTGAGCACAATGAAATAGCCATGAAACAATTAAGATCCAGCTCGGATAGACATTATGTTAATGGATTAGCTCGTGATGGTTTAGAGAACCGGATGAGGAATATGGACGAATGCCTCAATTCATTGTTTAATGAGCTTCAGAAGACGGATATTCGGGAAATTGTATTTCCTGTTGAAGTAGAGGGTGGAAGTTGGAGCCACGCCTACATTACGCTGTTACAAGGTTTTGCAGCGCGGTGTATGCCGTTGAAGATAATTGTCTCAGCTACTGTGTGCAAACCCTCTCCTTCTACCAAGACCTGAGAAGGAAAAGAAACAACGCATGCGACATGAAGATGATGGTGAATATGAAGATGATGATGATGATGACGATGAAGAAGAGGGTGAAATTACGCGTGAGAGGCAGCGGCGACCGCGATCTCCTATGGAAGATGAAAGGACGTCGAAGCGGTCGAAA